TGTGTGTGTGGAATCGTGAAAAATATAAAAACCGATTTTTTCTTCGCTTTTAAAAGCTGACGGCAAATCACCAACGAGTTTGCCAATTGCGTATATATTTGCATAACTTTCACATATTAGATAACATATCTATGTTTTGCAGTGAAAGCATACCCTGGAACATATCTTCGAACAAGAATTTTCATATATGTATGCAAAAATTGTCATCTTTTTTTTATTAAATAAATGCCGCGTAAAAGAAAATTCAAACCAAAACACTTAACATTCATTCATACATTCATACCGGGGTTGTTGCGAATATTCGCATTCGCATTCGCAATAATCAATGCGGATCTTTTGCGAATGCGAATATTGAAGGGACCGAAAGTAACAGTTATTTCCTTTACGAGTTAACCTTCGCCAAATATTTTTTATTCCCAACTAAAAGTTTTTTGCGGACAATAAACAAACCGCTTATCCAAATTAAACAAATTTGGTATCAAATGAAAGAGGACTTAAATAGCTTTAAAACTGAAATGTCTAAACAAACAAAGTCACATATTGAAAAATATTTCAATAGAAAATGATAATTAATTACCATAGAACAAACCTGCTCCTTATCATTGCTAAAAAAAATTGTATTCAGAATTTTTTAAAACTGTTTGGTATGCAGTTAAATTTTAAAATAATAAAGTAAAAGTTTCAAAATACCGTTGGGTTTTAATAATTTTTTTTTTGTTGACGGTGCCACGGTTTTTGCATACAAAGTACAAATTATGTTCGAAATGTGGATTTGTATGGTGTTTGTTGTATAACTAGATAGACTTTTATAAAAAAATATTAAACATCAAAATAAGGCGAATCTATTATTTCAGCGGGGGTAAAATAACACAAACGGCAATAACGCAAAATTTGCTTTCTTTCACTTTTAAATGGGAAATTATACCTAAATCTGAGTTTTGCTTTATTTCCAACAAAGGTTGGATATAAAGCAAATTTTACCTTATTTCCCATTGCTTAGTCATACTATTTGTAACAAAAACAGTTTACTGACCAGAAGCAAAAAGAACTTTGTTTATTCCAAAAATACAATTAAACAAATAATGAGATAATTCATATGAAGAAAGTAATATTCACAAAATATGTTTACTTACGAAAAGTCTAACAAAATATAGGAAAATAGTCGTCCTTAATAACTGCTCAGCAAATTGGACATAGCGCTTTTGCATGAATTTTATCTGCATGCTTTTTTAAATGTGTTGAAAACATTGCTGGAAAGCCTTAAAATGTTTGCATGGAACCATGGCGCAATAAACAGGTGAAGTAATAAAACAGCTTTCTCGCTTTATTTTATGTCATTCGGCTGCCTTATAGTCAAATTTTAAAGGCAATTTTTCAAATAAGACAGTGTTAAATTTTTCTTTTCGCTCTAATTACTTCAGTTGGTATAATTCCGCCATGGCATTGAACAAACAAAAGTTGCCGTTCATGTTCGCAGCATATAAACCAGACAATAATGTTTTCAGTTTTATCTTCAGTTAAAATTTCTGCATTATCATCACTGGTTTCACCATATCCGAAATGTGGATTTCGTTTACGAAGACGAAGCGAACATGTGGTAGGAAGTAGTGATGTAAAAATATGTAAAATTTTACCTGCCCTCAGACTTCCAAATTTGAACGTATACTCGGTGCAAGCAGNAGTGTTCGTCGAGGAGCAAGCCGAGGCACCACTGTTTTCGACAGACGAGCTGAAGCTAGCCCTGCGAAGCATGAAAGCCGGCAAGGCTCCAGGCCCAGATGGCATACCAGCGGAGGCAATCAGGTTAGCAGCGGAAACGAGCCCTGATCTTCTGCTTAACATGTACAACAGCTGCCTTAGGGCCCGGGTTTTCCCAAGCCAATGGAAGAAGGCGAGACTGGTGCTTATACCCAAGGGCAAAGGGGACCCAAACTCTCCTTCATCCTTCCGGCCACTCTGCATGCTAGACACAGCAGGCAAAATCATGGAGAGGNGCAAGGCTCCAGGCCCAGATGGCATACCAGCGGAGGCAATCAGGTTAGCAGCGGAAACGAGCCCTGATCTTCTGCTTAACATGTACAACAGCTGCCTTAGGGCCCGGGTCTTCCCAAGCCAATGGAAGACGGCGAGACTGGTGCTTATACCCAACGGCTNATTATAAGTTTTTGGTATATTTAATTTAATTTGATTTCTGATCTCGAAAATGTCGGATTTTCAACGAATTTGTTCAACATTATTTTTTTGAGCAGCAACTTCAAACGCGAATAAAACTGTCAAATAAAAAGCCAGTACTGTGAAATNCTAGACACAGCAGGCAAAATGATGGAGAGTCTGCTCAAAATACGCTTGACGTCAGCCATAGAAAGCAAGGGAGGCCTTTCACCCCGACAACATGGCTTCAGGAAGGGACACTCAACTATAGGAGCAAGTGGCGAAGAAGTCGAGGCATNTCTAACGATCTGCATTGCAACTTTTTAATACATTCCAACAATTGCTGTACGGAAATTGCTGGAACGCGTACCGATTTTGAGTGAACGATGCTTTATTACTTTACCTTGGTTATACCATTGGAAGTGGAATTATTTCCACCATGGGTGTGAGGTGCATGCAATAACACCATACGCAATAATTGGACATCAAAAAGCAGTTTCAGAAGTGAACTAGTGTCATTTTATTATTATTCTTTTTTCTAAACGGTTATAATGACATCAGTGCATAATTGCGAAAGGAGGGGAGGGGCGGAGGACGCGAACGCGACGTCGAACGTGGGCAGCGCGGGTGGCGCGGTGCGGCGCGCGTACGCGAACCGTCGTGACGCTGGGCACTTTCAAAATTGTATACATACAAATCCGTCCACTTAAGTTGTTNGAAAAAAAAATAATAATAATAAAAAATAAAGCATGTGTCTCGCTTTATTTTCCGACATTCGGCTGTCTTATAGTCACATTTTATAGGCATGTTTTCAAATAAGGCATTGGCAAAATATTTCTTCTCACTCTAATAAAGCATCGTTCACTCAAAATCGGTAAGCATGAAATGGGTTATATCTTTTTAATAGGTTTTCAGAAAATAATATTTAATATGTTAGAATAAAGAGAAAACATTCCGTTATAGATACATGTTAGCGAGAGTTTCATATTTTGCTTGGATAAATAAATAAGAGACAATTTCTTTGATAATGGTAAAAATTTTCTGAACACCCGTTCTAGAGACTTGTGTAGTCAACTTGCTCTACTAAACTATCTTTAGTTTATGGTTTTCCACGGCTCGCACATCTCTACTAATTTTGTTTTAAATAAATACCATGTATTTTTCGATTTGACTTAAATAGGTCATATTCGTAAATTGATGACTTCCAGAGCTTTATTCACATCACTGGCTTCAAACCGATTTAAAGTTACCTGTGAATAATTAGTTTACATAAAAACCCACCAACACTTTGCAAAAGGTCCAAAGTAAATGATATAATTAAATAACACTTTCTGCAAGCGCTCCTTCCAGCATATTTCTGGGGTCATATGACCCATTGTGGAGTCTGATCGAGTTTTAATGAGACTGCCTCGATTCTCTTGTCATTTCATAGCCTTTTGACAACTGTGTCAACTTCTATAAATTTAGATGTAAGAGGATATCACCCTGTTTCTTTTTAGCTTAAAACTTTTAACGTGGGAGTTGACCGAAGTCCAGTTTTAAACATGTTTTATTAGTCATTATTATAAAATACCACATTTAGTGCGAACATTGGGGGAATGTAAACGGGTGAGGTTTTTGTTATAAAATGTATTTAATCTAACAAAATTTTATATATTATAACTCGATAAGGTTTAAGTCTTGCCATAGCTTGCATTCGCTGAACTGTGGATAACCGTTATCCAATTCTCCCGCACGATCTTCTTCTGATAAGCAATTTTTTTCCTAATCCAGGTAAAGAGCCTTATCCTTAAGCTGGTGCGAAATGATGTCTTTTAATGATTAGCTCACCCCGTTAGTTTAAGCAGAAGGAATCTATTCATTGATTTTTGGAGGATAATTATAAGTTTTTGGTATATTTAATTTAATTTGATTTCTGATCTCGAAAATGTCGGATTTTCAACGAATTTGTTCAACATTATTTTTTTGAGCAGCAACTTCAAACGCGAATAAAACTGTCAAATAAAAAGCCAGTACTGTGAAATTTAAACCTCATAATGGTAGATCTATTATCTAACGATCTGCATTGCAACTTTTTAATACATTCCAACAATTGCTGTACGGAAATTGCTGGAACGCGTACCGATTTTGAGTGAACGATGCTTTATTACTTTACCTTGGTTATACCATTGGAAGTGGAATTATTTCCACCATGGGTGTGAGGTGCATGCAATAACACCATACGCAATAATTGGACATCAAAAAGCAGTTTCAGAAGTGAACTAGTGTCATTTTATTATTATTCTTTTTTCTAAACGGTTATAATGACATCAGTGCATAATTGCGAAAGGAGGGGAGGGGCGGAGGACGCGAACGCGACGTCGAACGTGGGCAGCGCGGGTGGCGCGGTGCGGCGCGCGTACGCGAACCGTCGTGACGCTGGGCACTTTCAAAATTGTATACATACAAATCCGTCCACTTAAGTTGTTATATACTACTTTTTGTCAAATGTAACTGGGTGACTACCTACATATGTGCACTATTTTGCTTTATTACTCAAATTGTTAAGTTTAAAAATTGGTCTTATTGCTCAACGAGAAATGAAATAAAGCAAATTTGTGTTATTTCACATTCAATTGGGAAATAAAACTTGCGTTATTGCCGTTTGTGTTGTTTCACCCCCCCCCCAATATCAGTATATGTATGCTTACATACATATGGACATATTTATATCTACCCTGATTTCGTTAGGTGGTTCCAAACCATCGTTACTTGGACTAAGTTATAATATCATTGTACACAGGTATGGTGCTACAGTTCAATAACCACTATTTAAACATCAACTTTCAAAATATAATTTCCGTTCTTACCTTTTTCCGCAAATGTGATGATTTCCTGCGTATCACCGACAAAATCCTCACTTTCGTATCGATTCGCATCTTTTGACATTCCATAGTGCTCTTGACGAAGGTTATATTCATCCAGGTTTTCAGCATCTAAATAAGCTTCAGTTTCATTATTGTTACTATAATGCGAAGAGTGATTCATTTTCCCGATGTGGATATCCAATGGACCGTCATTGCTGTTGTGAATTATACCGCCATTTACCGCTTCATCATCTTCAAGAAAAGCCTTAGGTTTACTACTATGCATAAGATATGTAAATTTATTTGTGCTTTTGCTTTCATTCGTTTTATTAGATTCATCGAACCGGACTTTTGGCATATGGGCTTTGTTATATTCCCTGTTATGACTTTTTTCGACATATAAATTCGGATACAAATCACTTTTGTTCAATTCTAGATGTTGGGAGTTTGTTCTAAATCTATGGGAAGTTGAATTTCTTAATAAAACTCTACTTTTAGCTGTAGCATTAACACTAGCCCCATTTTCGTCATGATTGCCGTTTTTGATTTGCATATGAGAATTTTTAAGCTCTTTGTTGGGGCCATAACCATTATTTCGAGTCACAGAATTTGCTATCGTTTCTTTCGTCTCACCTTTTTGGTAGCGTTCCAAGCGAAGTGGTAGCTTTGTAAGACCAGTTGCAGCCGCTTTTGCTCTGATTTCCCATTGCTGTGAGGCATTTTCATTAAAGTCAAATTCGCTTACAACTCTTCGTATACCATCGGCACGATATATAGTATCCCAAATAAATTGCTTTGGAAGAGGATGAGATACATTAGGTCTATGTTTCAGGCCGAGCTTGGTTAATATCTGCCGTTTAATGGACTCCAGACGGACGCGATCGCTTAGCGTGTCATGTGCTGTAGGTATTTATTTAATTAACATAAATAACAATAAATCCAAAAAAAAATTAGTATATATGTATGAACGTGTATTTGTAAATCGTCGCATTGCGCGCAATACTTCGTGTCCGCCAAACACCCAGGGGCGGACCCGGCAGCAATTCTTGGGGGGGGGGGGGGG